CTAATCATCAGAGAAATGCAAATTAAAACCACAATGAGATACCACTCACCTCACACCACTTAGGATGGCCACCATCCAAAAGACAAACAACAAATTTTGCCAACAGTGCAGAGAAAGGGGAACCCTCCTATACACTGCTGGTGGGAATGTAAATTAGTTCAACCATTGTGGAAAGCAGTATGGAGGTTCCTCAAAAAACTCAAAATAGAAATACCATTTGACCCAGGAATTCTACTCCCAGGAATTTACCCTAAGAGTGCAGCAGCCCAGTTTGTAAAAGACATATGCACCCCTATGTTTATCGCAGCACTATTTACAACAGTAAAAAATGGAAGCAATCTAAGTGTCCATCAGCAGATGAATGGATAAAGAAGATGTGGTACATATACACAATGGAATATTATTCAGCCATACCAAGATAACAAATGCTACCATTTACAACAACATGGATGGACCTAGAGGGTAGTATGCTCAGTGAAACAGGTGGAGAAAGGCAAGTATCAAATGATTTCACTCATTTGTAGAGAAAGGAACAAAACAGCAGCAGACTCACAGAACCCAAGAATGGACTAACAGTTACCAAAGGGAAAGGGACTGGGGAGGATGGGTGGGAAGGGAGGGATAAGCGGGGAAAGGGGCATTATGATTAGCACATATAATGTGCGAAGGGGGGGAAGCAGGGAAGGCGGTATAACACAGAGAAGACAAGTCGTGATTGTATAGCATCTTACTATGCTGATGGACAGTGACTGTGAAGGGGTATGTGGTGGGAACTTGATAATAGGGGGAGTCTAGTAACCATAATGTTGCTCATGTAACTGTATATTAATGATACCAAAATGAAAGAAGAGAAAGAAAAAGAAAGGGAAAGAAAGAGAGAGAGAGAGAGAGAGTGAGAGAGAGAGAGAGAGAGAGAAAAAGAAAGAGAGAAAGAAAGAGAGAGAGAAAGAGAGAGAGAGAAAGAAAGAAAATGCACATGTGAGGAATAAAGCATTGTATCTACAGATGTGATGGGAATTGAAGAGGCCACCTACACACAATTTCATACCAATAACTCACAATTTCCAAGAATATAACTTACCAAGACTAACTTGAAAGGAAATAGAATAGCTGTCATTCATTAAAGAAACTGAACCACAAGTTTACAATTTACCAGAGACACAACTTCTGTGAAGACAGGAGGAAGGGTGACAAGGTCAAAGGCAGGTTACTCTGGGCCTGAGTCAGGACAGAAGAGATTTGTGATGTGGAAGAGAAAAATAATCAGCAAAGCAACACATCCGTGGAGTAGGTGGAAAGGAGAGGTGGGCACCTCCTCGGCTGTGCAGGTTTGGGAAGGGAGGAGAAAGGGAAAGTCCATGCCACCTGGCCGTGTGGTAATGAGGCCAGAGCAACCCGTTAGACGCCCTCCATGGACTGGAACACGACGTCGAGGGGAAGCAGGAAGCAGAGGCTTGTAGATTTCTCCAGGAATGTTCTACCAGGTGGCGGCAGGGAGAGGCATTGAGCCAGGTCTCAGGCAACAAGAAGTTAGGGGGCTTTGCAAGACAGCAGTGACAGCATGAGTCACTCATACTATTCTGAGAACAGAAATATCAGAGGAACCCACCATGGAAATGAGATGGAGAAAGTCAGGAAGATGGTAACCGAGGACGCTCAGGCAAACAAGCTCAAGATGGGCCGCGGTTGCACCAAGTGTTTGAAATAAAAGACTTCTTAGCTACCTGCCTGGGCATGATGAGGCCTAGGAGTGGAAGGAGAGACCTGTGGAGAAACCTAAAACGTGGAGGCAGGGTGTCAGAGGACATTTCCCCAATATGCTACCACAATTTCTGATAACAGAGCTTTTACCTAGAAAGGCGCAGTTAACTTCCGCTTCAAGTGACAGTGACTCAGAGCTCTTCCCCTGACTGTGAGAAGTTGTGGGACAACCTACAACTGCATCGTCACACAGGCCACCAGAAAGTGGAAAGGACCAGAGGAACTGGACAAGTGCAGTGGGCCCCTCCAAGGACAAAGGGATACACGTACCATTTCCCCTTTGGCAGAGGAAGGAAAGCAGGTCAGAAGAAAAGAGCTGAACTTGTAACGAGTTCCTAATGGTTGAGCGTGGCCAGAGGGACCCTTTGGGGGAAGCAGAAGCCTTCCCTGCTGAGATGGCAGGCGTCCTCCGCCCTGGGAGAAAGGCTCAGGGCCTGGTCAGACACAGGCATGGGTCAGCCACCCTCAGGAGGGAGAAGCAGGGGGGTCTGTCCCACCCAAGACCCCCACAGATACAGGCAGCACCTGGCTGCCATGGGGAGGGGGCATGATCACTGGGAAAGTTGCCCCAGAGAGCCCGGGCATAGGGCTGCCCAAGGGATCCCAGACAGTGCCACGGTGGGAGGCTTGTGCTGGGCAGGAAGCGATGGGAGCCCACTGCCAAAGGGGGCCGAAGGGTAAGGGGACCCCTCCCCAGCCCACAAAAGCAGCAGGCACTGTGCGTGCGTGAGAGGAGTCTGCAAGGGGGCTGAAGCAAAACCTGGCTGACCCCAGTGCGGAATAGACTGGTCCGGTCGCACAAGCACTCATCAGGAGGCCCATTCATGAGTGGACGCTTCCTCCTCAGCCCCTTGGTCCCCTACATGCAGCACCTGGCACTCCTCCAAACAGTACGAGGCACAGAAAGCAAGACTTAGGGAAGAAGTAACCCCAACTCTACACAAACTTTTCCCGAAAAGACAAGCAGCAGGAATATATCTCTCATTTTATGAAGCCCCAAAAGACATTAAAGGTCAGGCGGGAGGCAGACATCTTTCAGGAGCACACATGCAAGTCCTTAACTGAATACCAGAAAATCACTCCAACACCAGATGAAGGGGTGTCTGCAGAAAGACCTGTGCACTTTATACAGCTCTATGCAAGAGTGCACATGTCCACCAACCAACAGCCGAGGCCTAGCCCTACAGCCTGTGTCAACGATATGGAGGAGGAGAACACTGATGCATACGATCAAGAGCATCATGCCAAGTTAAACAAAGCTGTGACACTCAGGAAAGCAAAACCATGGGGACAAACATCAGGTGAGTGGTCACAAGGGGCTGGGGAAGGGATGGAAAAAAGAAAAGCCCTAGAGCTGAACTGTAGTAGCAGTGGTTATGCAACTATATATGCTTGTCAAAACTCACTGACTACATACACTTTACACGGGTGAATTTTACTACATTCAAATTGAATCCCATTTTGTTTTAAAGACCAGTAATTTTAGCCAGCTTGAACACAAAGGACAATTTCATAAAAGTAACAGAAGGTCTAAGTCTGTAAGTACAGGGCCAGCAGTAGACCTCTGTGGTCCCTGGGGTCACTTCCCGGTGAGCAGAGCCTCATTTGACAATCCATTACCTAGGACAAACTGGGAGTTGGGAAATAAGATTCTCCCTGGCAAGACTAATTAACAGCAAATCAAAGGTATTTCCACAGGCCTCTGAAACCAGGATGAACAATAACAACCTCTTCCCAAAGGCACGGTCAAGCTAAAACAGAAGAGCAGGACTGGAGGAGGAAGAAAAGAATGAAGTTTGGAAAGCAGAGAGAATGCTTTGGCAAGGGGAAGACCCCAGAGTGTGCCTGGAAGTGAGCAGGAAGCACTTAACTTCAGGAACACCAAACAGCCTTCCATTAACAATGGCAAGAAGACCAAACAGGTTAAGTGGACACAGAAAGCAAAGTAAAATAAAAATGATAAAATAAAAGCAAGAAGGTCTTAGGGTAAAAAAAACTTGACTATGTCATCTTTGAAGTCCAATAGGGGGGGTCCCATGGTCTATCATTTCTTTGTTTATTCATTTATTTACTCATTAATTCAAATATTTGGGGTACCTAAAATAGGCCAGGCTAGCCAGTGTTCTTGGTAAGAAAATATATAAACATAGCTGCCCTCATGGAGTCCACATTCCAGTGAAGAGGACGGACTGGGTAAGTCAGAGACCCAATGAAGAGAGAAGTGCTGAGGGGAGCGCACGGCAGGGAGGCAGGGCGCACGAGGAGGCTGGGGACGAAAGCAACTTCCGCTCTGATACACAATGAGATTTCAAGGGTTGGCTATTCAAGCGCTGCCACAGAAACCGGTCCATGAGCTGGGAGTGCTGCTTGCAAGAACACCCTAGAACAGAAGTCACTGGCTCAGTAGCAGGCAGCGAGGAAACAGATGAGACCTAGCAAGGCAAAGAAGATCCATGCCACGGAGCAGAAGGATGTTCACCAAATGGTCCTGGGGACTGACCTCGACAGCAGTGCCAGGCCAGAAGGCGGAACGTGGTCATGGAGGCTGGTGTTGGAGGCCACATGCAAACAGGTACTAGAAGAAAGGTAACAGCTCTGAAAACAATCAGCTGCTTGCAAGCAGAATCAGAAGAACAGAAAAGCCCCAGAACATGGGCGGTCAAATGGTCACAAAAGCCAACTCCTTCTAGAACCCAAGGAGCAAATTTGAAAGCCCTTTCAGAACCAGGCCCACTAAGATGGAGCCTGGGCCGAAGATAAGATTAAGGGCACGGCCTGCCCACACAAGCCTCACCGCCTCAAGATCGCCTCCGCTCAGCTGAGGCAGGAAATCAAGGGGAAAAAAAGGGTGGGGGGAGTGGCACTCGACAACTTGAGAATTGCATGTGAGAGAATTTCAGGTGTAATCATCTAGAACCAAACACATGAAAAACCTCCTAGCTTTTTAGCAAACTGCTTCGCCAAAGAAATCTTGAGACCAGACTAAAAAATCACAAACACTCTCTTTGGGCCCCCAAACTTGCTGACCTAGTTGTCTGACTAAGGAGGGCAGGTCCCCTACTACCTATGGCAGATGTGAACAGGAAGACCAGGAGGAAGGCCCCAGCGGGTAGAGCAAGTGCCCAGAAGATGGTGCAGGAGGGAGTTCCTTCCAGGAAGCAGACACAAATTCACTCCTTCGCCGTAAGCCGTGAGTTATGACCAGTGCAGAGCCCGCGCTGGCTGTGCTGGGCACTCACCGCCGGCCGGTCAAGGCTGCTGTGCCTCTCCTCCTTCTCCACGGTCCGCCGGCAGTCGGGACACACCCACAGTGGCAGGCGCAGCACACTGTTGCCCTTGGGAGCCATGGAAAGGGCCAATTTGCTTGCGGTCTTAATTCCACTCTCTAAGAATGAAGAGTCTTTCCTCTCGCTTCTGCACAGAAGACAATGATCCCCAGGGGGGTAGGATGGTGTTCTATGATTCATGCCAAAATTAAAAGGAGTCTGGAATAGAAAAGATTTTCTATTTCAAAACATGATCCACAAAGCCAAGATCATTAAAAAATAATACATAGTTCTAAAATTACTATGTACATGTATGTTTATGCAAAAACACATCAAATAGGGAATTTTAAAAATAAAACTGTACCTAGTGTTCTAGAAACTCATACTTCAAATGTAACACCATAAAGAACATCTTAGTAGGAGTCAGAAAACTGTCCAATTAACCCCTTCACCCAGACTTCTATACTTCATCTCCGACATGCTAGAAAGTGTCAGTCGCAATTTTCAGACTGGGAAAGCACCAGGATTTGTTATCATCAACCAAGTTTAAAGCTACCATTCTAGAGATGTCTGCATATGAGGGTCAGGCCTAAGGTGGCAATTCTGGCTTAAGTGTGTCTGCAGATCCTCACCACCTCTGAGGTGGAGTCCACATACCAGAAAGATAAAAATCTGGGAGACTGATGGCAGCCACATGTCCAAGAATATAATATAATGAATCATAAGAAATACATATTTGGTAATATGTATTTCTCAGGTATATCTGGTCTTCATCAACAGTTCCTGAAAACATTACAGAGTCTTAAAGGTGAAATGGGTATTTTGTCACATTAATGAGAGACTTTTGGACCCCCACCCAAGGGCAGGGGCTGGAAGCTGGATCAGACAATGGCAATACTTTAGTCAATCATGACTCTGCAATGACGCCCTCACGAAAACCCATGGGAAGAGCTTTCTGCTCACTCCCTGCTCTGCCTGCTCTGCTCGGCTGGATCCTGCTTCTTGGTCGGAGAGGGCTTCTACGCCTGGGGAACCAGAGCGCCCCCACGTGCCACCCGGGCCCCAGGCTCCATGAGGACAGAGGCTCCTTCATCTGGGACCTTGCCCTCTGTCTCTCTTCATCTGGTTACTAGCTTGTATCCTTTATGGAATTCTTTATTAAACTAGTAAAGGTAAGTGTTTTCCCGAGTTCGGTTTTCCTGAGTTCTGTGAGCCACTCTAGCAAATTAATTGAACCTAAGGGGGAGGTCGGGGGAACCTCCAATCTGAAGCCTGTAGGTCAGAAGCACAGGTCACTGCCCGGGACTTGTGACCAGGTCTGTAGTTGGGGGTGGAGGGCAGTCTTGTAGGATGGAGCCCTTAGCCTGGGAATCTGGGGCTGTCTCCAGGCAGATAGCATCGGAATTGAGTTGAGTTCTCGGACACCCTGTGGGTGTTTGAGAATTGCTTGGTGTAAGTTATGTGTGGGGAGACCCCTCCCCACATATTTTCACATATTGGAATTGGGTCCAGGTACCCAAATGAAGTTATATTACTATTACTGCTATGTATAATGTTGTTACTGTTTTACGTAGGGAAAAAATACTCCATCGCATTTTGTGTCAGAGATGTTACACCCAGCCTCCTTCCAACTCAGCAGCAATTATGCTGAATTTGTCTCCAGCTACTCAATTTCAATGTCTACTTTTTTCAAATAGGCCCTACACTGTGGGGTGAGGCTGGGGTCCTCTAAGATAGGAGGAAAAGTCAAGATACTACCCTAGGTCTTCTCCAAAAGATTGTGCAGCTTTAAAAATACCCCAATAGGCTCCAAGTTACAAGATCAGCAAACAGAGACCAAGGCTTTAACCCACATCAGTGGTAGCCCAAGATGGGAACCACCCTGCAAATCCTGAAGAGAGGTTCGACGGAGGCACACCTGGGCAACACATGAGTGGGGGAGCATGGCATGGCCTTCCAGAAGCAGGGCAGCTCCGCCCAGGTTCCAAGCCAGAGCACATGTAGGAGCAAGGCAGCAGAAAGCCCCCTGGCCTCTCGCCCATCTGGAGTGCTCCTGCCATGATACGTATCAGATGGGAAGGTGGCCCAGGCCCCACGCCAAGGCTATTCGGGCTGGCACTCTGGGCATTCCACAAAGTCTCCAGTTCCACCCAAGACTCCTCCAAGGTCAACCGGCAGCCTAGAATTCCCTCAGCCCATGGCTCTCCCTGTCCTCCTGTGCCAAGGCTCACATACACTTGACAGTGCTTAACTGGACTACAAGTGTGCATCTCACAATTGGCTCCAGGGCCAACTGAGCGCTCTCCATCAGGCCCCAGGCCCCATTTCCATAACACGGAATGGCCAGCAGGTGTCAGGTGCTTACACAGGGAACTAAATGAATAAATGAAGGAGTGAGTGAGTGAATGACAGCACCACTAAGATGCAAAAGACTCGCAAGTATATTCTTACCTGCTTTTATAAGTCAGTGATGAAAACTGTTGACACCTGTCAGAGCCACAGGGTTCCACAGCCTGGGCCAAACCCAGCTCAGCAGCCATCACAACGTTTGGGGTGGGAGGGGAGAGAACCAAGTACACTCTCCCAGTGGTGGTGTAGAAAAGCTCCAGGCTGCTCAAACCACAGACTACCATGGGAGCAGACATCTTTCTCTCCCCCCAAGATCCAAGAAGTCTCACTTATGACATTTTCAAAAATCACTCATTTAACCCTATGTAAAGCCACCTCTTGCCCCAGTCCTAGAAAGCAGCCACCATCACCAACAGAACCACACAGCCTTCGGAGCTTTCTACCACCTTTCTACCCAGCAGAGATGCTGGGCTCCAAAGTCAAAGGTCCCCAAGCCAGAAATCATAATGTGAGAGCCAGAGCTGACTTGAGCCCACCCAGTTCAGCTCCCACTGATGGGTCCATCTGTCTGTCTGCCTCTCCATCCATTATTTCCTGGGAGCCTGCCAGGTGCTAGTGTAGGCACTGCGGACACAAGTGTGAATAAAGTAAAATCCTTGCCCTCGGGGAGCTAATACCCTTACCAATGACGAACAGAGGGAGCAAAACGTAAGCTGGGCAGGCAGAAGCCACATATGTACCTGGGAGAGGGCCATTCCCAAGAGCAAGCACAAGCCCTGGGGCAGGAAGCCAGAGCAGGTGAGGAGGAGGCAGGGAGCCCGAAGTGGCCTGGTCTCCCCCTGCCCTGTTCTAAAAGGGTAAGGTAACGAGGCTGTGTGCAGAAGAGATGAGAGGGATTAAGAAAGGAAGGGAACAGGGGCCGGAGAAGCTCTGTGCTTTCTAGGAGTGGGGGCAGTGAGGTCGCTGCTAAAGGCTGCTAAGCAGAGGGCTCAGGAGCTTGGAGTGGGGTGAGAGGAGGAGCTGATGGCTCCCTGGGACTGGGAGGCAGGAGCAGCTCTGGGATGAGGAGGTCTCTTCCACAAATACTCGAAATACACCGTATGCCAGGCATCCTTGGAGGTCAGACAACAGGGATGCGACAGCAAGTAACATGATAGTCTTGCAGGTTTCAGAAAGTCATGAGGCAAGTGAGCACAGAGAACCTGCAGACAGCCAAGGACAGTGAGCACTCCTGCAAGAGGCGCGGCCACCAAGAATGCAGAGCAGGGGCACAGGGAGGATGTCTTCACAAGGAGAGCAGAACTAAGCTGAGACCCAACTGCTACGGAGAATAGGAAACCGAAACACAGCCACAGGAAGATGGGGAGCAGAGCCCTGGGAGAACAGCGAGTGCAAACATGGGCTTGTCCAGGGGAGAGTGGCGGCGGGGCCTGGGCTTCCAGGGCAAGCAGGTGGGACTGCCACCCAAGCTCTGGGCCCCGAGAAGAGAACGAAGGCTTCTCAGAGGGGATGCATGACCCAGTTTTCATCTTAAAAGTAAACTGTGTGAGAGAAATGGATCCTGGGGAGGTAACCATGTAAGTAAGGCTGTGCCAGGCAGTTCCAAGTGCAGTGGCCAGACTGGAGTGTTAAAAGCAGAGCCACAGGACCTGCCAATGGACCCAAGGATACAACAAGGACCCAACTGCCCAAACAGCAGGCATGGCAACGGCAGAGATGCTGGGCCAAGGAAGACAGGCTGGACAGCGACAAGAACCAAGAGCTGGCTTTGGATGTTGTATGTATGCAGTGCATGTTAAACATCCAAAGGATGTTTTTTTGTACAAGTAAGACATTTGGGGAATAAGACACAAATGGTTATATAATTTGAGTCTGCTGATATATACGGTATGTAAAGCCATGGAGCTGAATGAGAGAATCCACGGAGACAGGGTAGACAATGTCCTGAAGGAAAGCCACATATGTTCAAGCATGGAGTCGGTCCTCTCAAAGAGAAGAAGCTCTACTAGCCACACACCTTTTTCAGACAAAGCAAGTAACAGGTCACTACAAAACACATGCATGTGCACACAACACACCTGACTAAAGTTCAGATTGACAGAGTACTGGCCAAATGACCCAGGCATTCTATTCCTTGGTATTTATGACCGAGAAGAAAAGCTTATGTACATGCCAACACCTGTACACGAACATTCATATTATTGGTAACAGCCAAACACTGGAAACAACCCACATGTCTCCAAATGGAAGAGCGGCCCCACCCTGTAGTTACTCTCCTGTCTGTGATAATGTGAGGTACATACATTAAAAATAAAGCATTTTGCAGGTGTATTAAAGTATAACTGAGGTATACAATAAACTGAAAATATTTGAAGTGTGCAATCTGAATAGTTCTGGCCTATTACACAACTGTGAAAACATCATGATAATCAAGATCACGCATGTCACTATCACCTGCCAAGCTTCCTTCTACCCCTCTGCCCCTCCCTTCCCTTACCACCTTCTTCTCCACAACCGCACCACACCCACGCGTGACGACTGACTTCTCTCTGTGCGTTATACTCTGCAATTTCAAGAACCGTACGTATATAAATGATTATCACACAATGCATACTTTTTTTTATTTGGAGATGACTCCCCTGTATGTATCAGGAGTCGCTTCCTCTCCATTACTGAGCAGTATTCCATTGGGTGGGTAAGACATAACTTGTTTATCCACTCTCCCAACTCCTGCCACCATCACCACTGCTTACCTGGCCACAGGGAGGCACTGGCCCAAGGACAACCAAACTGGAGGCTACTCAGTGACCTAAAAGAAGGACTACCACAGGTGGTGCTTGCTCTCTGCTGGCTCCCCTACTTCCCCTGAC